ACCAAGAGAGATATTGATAAAGAGTATGCGTAGAGATAGATATGTACTATGGCGGATGATAAGCATAAGATCCGTTTGCTTGATGGGGTATTAAGAATTAACAGCATCTCCACATAACTCTATGCAACCTTCATGTCTGAGAACATAATATCTATCATACGCATATACGGGCCTTTCCGAGAATTATCCATGGGGTCTGATGAGCCTAATCATTGGTCCCTCATCAGACGGATCAGCAAATGGATCAAAGAAATCTGCAACATCACTGGAGTCGGCTTCACTTGCCTCATCCACCGTATCCAACTTGCACATTGGGAAGGGGAGCATCGTTTGTGATGCGTTTGCACTTGCCTCAACGTCTTCCTCATGTGCTCCTTGTGTCAACAGTTCTCCGTCCCAATAAGCTGCAATACTATCTGTGGTGGCATCCACTGGTAAGTCACCTCTTGTCTGAAGTGCTTCTTCTTCTCTGTCAGTGATTGATTCTATGGCCTCTAATTCTGGCTCCAAGTGCATCTTCTTCCTAGGTCTTTCCTCATCACTATTTTCCTCTGCACTGCTTGTCTCCTCATCGTCTCTTGCTCTCCTTTTGCCACCACCGCCATTGTCATCGTCCCCACGGTCGTTGTCGTGGGAGTCAGGGTCAGTCCGTGTCTGAATCGAATGCGGGATTCGGCAAACTGTATCCTGATGCCACTTCAAACCCCAGTCGGTCTTGCACGTTTTTAAGCAGTACGGGCACTTGAATTTGACCATCGTGCGTGTTTATTTTGTGCAACTGGAAAAGATTTGAGGGGTGGCCAAAGTTTTTGCCTTGGATAAAGCGCAGAATGCGGTCAGGTCCAAGGGCATAAGGAAAATGAATGCCGATTGCGAAAACTGTTTATAGCTTGGTGCACAAAGAATGTGCCCATTTGCATATTGAAGCAGGCGCACCCACAAGAATCTTGTTCAATAGTAAAGAATGTTCTGTTCTCCATGCACTTTCGTTAAGCATATGCGTAAACACTAGTTGTAGCCTTGCTTATTATGACGCAATGTACCATACGAATCTATAGGCAACATCAAGATCATTTGATGCAAAGCTGAGTTAATAGTAGGCACCTGCATCGGACTGTAGAGGCTCTTGCACAAGACCATCACGCACAAGCACACTGGTAAATTGGGTGGCTAAAATGCGCTTCTTAGATGTCTCCATTCTCTCCATGGCGTCTAGTGTGGACTTGGTCTGTTGCTGCATGGCTAATGTGGACTGGGTCTGCTGCTCCATCGCTGCTTTGAGGGATGCTATTTCTTTGGACTGTGTATCACTGGTAACATCACTGGTTGCCACAGTGGTGGCTGTAGCGGGTACAGAGACATTGGTCACGGGTGCCTGATTCTGCCCCCAAGTTCTGACTTTGTCTGCCCAAGTAGTGATGATGGCTTCCACTGAAGCAAGAGAGGCATCATCTTGATACAGTGTTTGAAAGGAGCGACTGCTGTATGAGTACTGATCCCAAGAGTCATCCCTTGGAGTTCGTGGTTGTATTTGAATGACAGAGGGTTCCTCGTCAGCCATTCAGGGCATAGTCTTGGGGGAAGATGGTGGCATCTGAGAAGATATCTGTGAGTCTTTCCACCACTGTGTCTCTTGCACCCTTCTGGCAAATGGCATAGTACTGTCCTGCAGTGGCATAGGATTTGTGGCGTTCCAAATCCAATAGCAGGGGCTTTCCATTGGCAGTGACAATCTTCTCTAATAGCAAAAGACGAATTTCATCCTCAAAGTTTGGGTTCAGGTCTTGAAGGGGGACTCCTGTGGTGGCATTGATGACATCCATATGTTGGATAACTGCCTTCTTCATAAGGTCATGGTGCTTTCTTTGTCTGCTGATCTTGTTCAATTTGGGACTCAGTAGATCCAACTGTGGATGTTGCAGAGTAGGATCATTGGCAATGGCTTTCATCAGGTTTTCAAAGGCTGGACGGTCGGTGAGTCCCACTTGGATGCCAAGGATGTCAATCTTCTCAGTATCGACCTTGACTTTGGTTGGAACAATGGCAATATGGGACAGGTGATGGAAGGCCTCTGTTGACGTAGCCAACTGGACATCCGAGGTAACAGGCCATCACGGAAGGTCTTCTTAGGATTCTTCCCGGCAATGTAGCATACTGTAGCAGTTTGGGATTCCTCTAAGCTGTGTGGGCGCAGGAACAGCTTGTGTTCTTTGAGAAAGGGAACCACCCCTTGAATCTTTTTGAGTACCGCCACACTGTCGTAATCAGGACTGTGCACATAGAAAGAACAGGCAAATCGACGAATGTAGTCATTGATGGGGCCCCAGTCCATCACCGAGGCATTGAGCCACTTCACTAGCTGGTCGCGGGTCATGTCTCCTAGGGAGTCCAAGTCAATTCCATTGCCGTCAAAGTCTCCGATCCCTTCATGGTCTTTGAAGGTGATTGTGTACCTGTCATCAGAACACAATAGTGTCAACAACTGCATGACCAGAGGTATAGGCATTGCTGAGGTTGCTGGATTCATTGCCTCAATGCGAACACCAAAGTAGTGTGTCTTGTGGCTCCTTGCACCATCGTTGGTATCCTCAAAGAAGCTTTCCTCGCCGTCATCCCTCATAGGATCTCCATTGTCGCCATCCTGATTGCCATTGGTGTTGGATTCATTGGCACTCTCATCTGCATCAAGAGCCATGGGATTGGCAGCACCAAGTGAAGCAGTGGCGGCATCTTGCTTGGACTCTTGAATGGTCATGGTGGTAATGCCTGGGATTGAGGGAACATCAGTATCAGGAGCTGGTTCCAGTAGACCCAAGGACTTAGCCCTGCAGTGAATCTCTCTAGGCAATGTGTTAGTTAGGATGAGTAGATCATCAATGTATGCACGGACGTATTCTAGGTCGTGCATTAGTGTTCCCATCTTCTCTTGGAAGAGCTCTCTGGTGAATCTCTCTAGGCAATGGACAGTGAGTTCTCTGTAGCTCGAGAAGGGAGTTCCTAACACAGACAGAAGCAGTGTCATTTGCTGGGTTGGTGGGAACAAGGATTGCCAGTTCTGTTTCCAGATAAGGGAGTATCTTGTCTGGATCTGCCTTCCACTTGCAAAGGAAACACAGTGGGTCTTGGGGTCGAGAGATCGAAACCTGATGACAGAAACAACGATGGGGACTCGGACTGATTGGTGGCAAGCCTGATGGATCTGATGTTTGAGTGGCCGCTGTAGCTGCTATGCGCTTGAGTGGGTGGGAGTTTGGTTTGGTATCCGCTGGCACTACTATCTTCTCCGGATCCTGATTGTCAATGGCAACGTTGTCGAAGATGGGAGCAAGATGCTTGGTGTGGAAGGACCTATCATCTTCGAATGATATATTACAGGAACCGCAGTAACGACTCGATAGAGTGTTATCTCGTATGCCAAGTTGGGTAGCGGTAGAGTCCACGCACTGACACTGGTGACACTGGGCAGGAGTGGTTGTAGGGGCCCTAATGACCACATCATCATCGAAGGTGGTGTTTGTTGTGAGGAGATTACCTCGCTATCATGTCGTGTGCCTTAGCATTTGCCCTGAGGTGTTGGATTGCCGCATTGATCTCTGCATCAGTCGGGATTTTGGTATCTGCTATCGAGTTTGAATCAGTACTTGGTGAGGAGTTTGATAGGAGCATTGTGAGCGGTGATTCCGAACGTGTATCATTGCTAGTGGACCTTGTAGTGGAATTGATTGCTTGCAGAAGTCACAATGATGAATTGTTGTAGGATAGTTTTTGCGAGGAACTCGAGCTGTGGAATCGCTGAGGGAGAACATTCGTGGAATGACAACGACGTTGCATGTTGGACACATGACCGGTAAAGAGCAATCCTCTCGTTTGGGGGAGAGCCCATCATTAGTAGCAATTTGAGTTGTTCGTCCGTCGTCGTTGAAGGAATCGGTTGCCGTCAGGTTACTTGTAGTCTGATTAGGTGCTTGATCAGCATAGAAGGCAGGAGTGTCAATATCATTGACAGTTGTCCCGTCCTTGACGGCATTGGTGCTTGGAGGCGAGATCAAGTCAATCGGTGTTGTGATCGAACCACCAGTCTGCATTTGCTTACATGTTTCCTGGTTGTTTCGATTGTGGAGTAGTGCTTCAGGTTTGTCCACGGGAGAATCCATTGCTTCTTTCTCGCTAAGGAATCGTCGAATTGATTCTTTCAGTCGGAATCGTTTATTTCAAGGTCGCTTTGTCTGAGTGCCGGTGTTGTTTCTTGGTGTCGATCTGCTGAGGCTATCTTGATGGCTTTCACTACAATGCTGGTCGTTAAGAATCGCCTGATCTGATGTTTGGGTATTGGGCACTGTTGGTGTGTTGCTCAGCAGCTTTGATGCAGAGGGTAGCTCAGGCCAAGTTTCTTTATTATCGAAGTTGATAGTAATTTCTTGTGGTGTAACACGTGTTCCTCGAATCGACTGTCCGGTAGTGTGGCTTTGAATCTTCATATTAGATTTCCCGTGCCTGCGGGTGATGTTTGGTTGTTCCCAAGAGACAGGTGTGGTTGTTGCAGTGACGAGTACCGGGGGTAGTGGTAGTGGTTGTGGATTAATCTGCGACGTCCTTCTTTGCTTTTTGCGGCGGTTAATGGCTGTGCGATTGTATTTCACTTCGTCTTTATCTGGATTGGCCCGTGCATTGGTATGGGTAGGAGTGCTTGCCAGGGAGTGTGCTTCCACAGACTCGCTGCCAATAGTGTCCATGGTATCGACAGAGTCATCGTCTTCCTTATCTTGGTATTGAAGAAGCCATTGGTCGTCCGGTTGCGCTAGCATAGAGAACGAATTTTTCTGTGTGTCAATAGTAGCTCTTGGAGGGCCGGAGATACTTGCTTTGTTGAGTGGTGTCGTTTTACGATTGCGTTGGATGCGTCGAAAACCGTCGTCTTGCTGATGCCCATGCAAGAGGTTGCTTGCTTGGTCATCGAAAAACTCTTGGATTGTAGTAGTCTCGGGCCTTGTTTTCGATGGTTTCCTGGTCGATTTCCCCAGCGCTGGTCCTTGTGGCCGTCTACTCATGGTATTAGAATCCATTGCTAGCTTCTGCTTTGTGGTAGGAGTCGGATATCTCATACGAAACGGGCCAGAGGGCGCCATGGTGGCTCTTTTTGTTTCGAATGGGTAGGAAACAGCCAGTTTTACTATAGGATAAACAGTACGAATCAGTGAGTCTGTGTGCGTCCCAAACAGGTGATTCTAGATTGCGCAGATCTAGAATTGTATTGTTGGGGTTTGGAACTCAGATGAAGGACGGTGCTGGTGTGCAGGGCTTTGTCGGTCACGGCGTTGTTGCACGTGCGATTTAAATTGGTGCAACAGGGCATAATTACTTTTCAAAAGGATGTCGCAGATGAACAATTCGACATACCTTAGGAGCCTTTACCGGCAGATCATTTTTAATTTGGAAGGGCTTCGTGCAGACACAGATCATGAGACCTCCCGATACAAAGCTCGCGGGTACGTATGACTTTTATATTCTTAAGCTCACGCCAAAAATTGTGCCTATTCATACTATCTTCAGCACTTTGTATTAAAAGGTGCGACTTAAAAGTTTCTGTAGGGCAATTTAAGTTTGCGTTAACAATAAAAAGTATTTAATCAAATATAAGAAAAGTTATCTACAAAATAAACACAGAATCACGCAGGTAGCCTTGGGGCACACTGAGCTGCAAGCCCCCGAAAACCGAGAGAAAAGTTGAGACTCTTGCCACGATTCAGATTCACGATTACAAAAAGTCTGCCCGTCTGGCAGTTTGACGCACGCACGGGGAAACGGTGCGCTGTTGTGCACTGCTGCCCGTACCATAGCTCCGGATACTCCTTGGCTCTATTCTTCTTTCTTAAAGTGCATTTACGCTCCTATTTTGAGTTTTAAAAAATTTCGGACATGGGTGTGCTCCGGAGTTATGAGCATTCAAATTGGACAATAATCCGATAGATTTTTTTGTTCCGTTTGTCACCGCTCCTTAATCAAATCCCAAAGACAAAAAATAACGTAATTGCAACCTCTACGATCATTACAGACATGAGCAGTTTGATGCCAAGCTTGGGTGGAGAGAGTATGACAATTTCAGTAGTAACGGTAAGCCACTCTTTGCATTGAGTATCAATCCAAAAAAACGTTGACAAAGGAGACACAGTAAAGTCATACACGTTTGTCTATATTCAAGACGGTATACACTATGAGAGTATCTACGTTGTCTACTTGCACTCTTGTATTGATGCTTTGCATAGTCGATCTTACCTTCCGCTCTCATTATTTTTCTTCTTCGATGTTTTGAATCATCAGAGGAAGGACTTCAGACTGTTTTTGGTGGAGGTTTCTAAAGTACCGTGTACGAGCAAGGACCAAAGATACAACCCATTACTCCTCAAACAAGCCATCCCGTTGCCTTCATTACACAGGCTACATCTTGTAGACTCCTCATTTGGGTGATTTGGTATCGTCAGTTTGGCTGAAAATATCAACGGATAACGACCATTTTCGAGTGATCAGATTTTGAAGCGGACAAAAGAGCATCCTCCACCAAAAGCACCGTCAAGAGCATCCCATCCTTTTAGGCCGGCTCAGAGTGGACAGAGAAGAAGCAAACCCTCAAGTTCAAGAGCACAAACCCAAGACGAAGCTGAAGCCCGTCCTGAGTCTCAAAGAAACACTTTTGACTCCTATGGCTAATTTCAAGCAGCAAA